CTTCCTGAAGATAGAAGAGTTTGTTGAATCTGACGTGACATGTTCGTACGAACCCTTTGTACGAACAAAAGTAAGAGAAATTTAGGATAAGAATACAAACATGTTCCTGCAGGAGGCCCAATGACCTAAATTTTAGGTGTTGCAAGCAGTCATCAACCTACACAGATGGTACAGCTGTTTCAGCATTTACAGTATATAAAAACTAAAGGTAAGCCTGTGGAAAATTGTATGAAGTCACCACTATAATAAACACTCATTTAAATGTTTTTTTAGTTGGAAGCTGGCTGCGTAGAAGATGCACAATATTCAATCTGTCTGCAGTTGACGTACGCTCACATGCATTAAATACCAACAGTTTGTTCAGACCAAAGCAGAGGCCAACATACACACTGTACAAAACCTACTTGTTTGAAACATGTCATAAAGCACAACCACATCGTCTATCCATGAGAAACCAAGAGATAATTCCTAAAACAAAATCCTTGAAAGAGTTTATAAGTGTTCAACTGGAAAAAGAGGCTTTTCATTAGCCCAGAATGGGATTTCCTATGAAGTGTTAGTGAGGTCTGCTGCAACAGCTTAGTTGGAAGTAAGTCCAGTGGAGCCATGTGTTCTCTGTCTGTTTACAGTGCTTTTATTAGGCATCCTGTGGCACAGGCAGCCTTTTGAAAGGCCGTCTTTATATGAGCTTTCCTGTTTATGCTTAGGGGTGGGAGGTCAGCACTCGCAGCCTTGTGCTGAATATGGTTGAGCTGTCTGCATAGGAGAACTTTGTCTGTGAGAATATGAGAGAGAGTTTGTGTGTGTGAGCCAGTTGATGTGCGGTATTAAAGTAATGTGGGAGCCTGGCTTCACAGAAAAAAACTGACCACAGCTGAGCTGGGTCAGAGATTTCATTGTGCACTGGCAGTAGTAGGAAACACAAACACAACAAGTGTAAATATCAATCACAATCCTAAATATAGATAACCTCAGAACAGGGTTGCAATAAAAAATGAAGCCAAACAGAAACTTTCCAAGTGTTTTTGATGTGGCTTGAGGTATTTGAAAACTCACCCTAGGACCCCTCTTGCCTGGAAGACCTGGTTTCCCTGGAGGTCCCTGTAGTCCCTGGGGAAAGATTGTTAAGTCAGTGCTGCACACTGATACACAACAAAAATAATCTCTCCCAACACTTTAACTATCTTTGACAGTCATACTTGTTAATTCATTGAAATCCTTTTTGCATTTACGCAGTAAAAATGCTTCCATAAAACATTGACTGTTCTGTATTTGGAGGGTAAATTTTGAGCAGTAATTCCATCTTAAGGATACGAGAGTAAAAACGTATCCATCAGGAGGCTATGAGCCTGTGTGGCAGGAAACTGTAGGAACTCTAGAAATAACAGGTCATTTCCTGTGCCACTCAATGCTCCTGTATGCCTTTATCTGGCTTGTGCTCATTCGTTTTCTTTTAATCAGAAAAGGAAAAAGAGAAGGAAGGAAAAACAGAGCATTTGTGGCTATTTTGGCTGACAAAAGCACTCTGTAGAATTCTGGACTTTAGGTTAACTTTGACTTTAAACATTTATATTACATTCTTAAAATGTTGTTTCCCTTGTAAAAATCATAATTTGTCTTTCCTACACTGGTAAAGTGAGTTTGATGTTTGAAGTTGGGATAAAACAGACATGACAATCTCATAAAAAAAACTGCAGCAGCCACCATAAAGCACAGTTATTGATGTAACAGAGCTGTCAACTTTCTTCAGTCAACGCATCTCAGTTTTCACAAGGCTGTGAACTTTTGGAAACAAAGGAAGCACAGTTTAACCTCAAATCAAAAGCAACCAGCTAGACTTATAAATGTAGACTTAGGGTTGTTGTAATCATTGTCACAAGTCCTTTACACTGTCTGAAATACGTTTTCAAACTTTCCTTTTCAAGATAACTTTCAGGGTTAAGACCACCTCTGTTGCTGCACGTGGTGTACCCTAAAGTGGGCGTCATCTCTGTCAGCACACACATCTTCACACTTCTACTTCCTGCTTCAATCATCAGTCTTTATACAAGTTTTTGTTTGTTTTTGGCCCCCACGGTTGCATCTCTTTGTCTTTCTGAAGAGACTTTACCCACAATGTCTTCCAATTCACATAATCATTTTAATTAACCCCATATTATAATAGTAAAATGTATTGCTACTTTAGCACAAAGCTTGGAAATAATAGCCATCTTCAAATTCAAATACATGATTCAATTTACTGATTTGTTTGAAAATCAAAATTAAACTAGATTATTGCTGTAGATAATACTGCTTTTGCTTGTTCATACTGATCAAAAAGAAATGGCATATTTCTGTACGGCTGTGTTCTTCTAGGTATGATGACAGTGTTGCAAAATAAAAATAAAGAAAGCAACATTAGTGCCGGTAGCATCTGAAGTAAATGCCATTTCAAAGTTACATCCACCTCCAAACTCCAGCATTTTTCATTGAGAAACATTAGCACTTAAGTCATATCAAACTTTCTTAGCAAATGGTCAGAAACTGAGAGGAGCTCTGATGTTGCGTGAAAAATGACCTCTTGAAAGAGGGAAATAGTGTTCTAGCCTCAAGTACCGCACTAAAGAATTGACTTGCCCTTGTGCCCAGATTGGGAAACTGCAAACTCAATGTTTACTGACTGCCATGACCCTCAACCTTGCTTTGAAAAGGGGTCACATGACCTTGACTAGCACTTTCTGGTCAAGAGACAAGAAGGTGTAAGAGCTAACATGTCAGAACCAACTTGGTGGGGTTAATGCACAGACCAAGGAGGAGAGAAATACTTTAAAAAAATACACAAAAGAAATATTTGTTGTGGAGAAATGGACATAATATTTGAAGTTTTAGTGATTATTTTGAATCAAATTTTACTTCAGTGTCAGGTCTATCTGTGATCTTTTTTATTTACTGTGTCACCACCTGTGATTTGATTCAAATACTGACACTGAAGTAAAATGTTCTCTAACTGTATTTTTAATGTTAAGCAATCTACTACTTGCACAAACCGATTTTTCACTGGTGCTTTTCAGGTTGATTTGCCTCTTTTGTAGCATCTGCACACAGAAAACTTAAGTGACCAACTTAGGTTAAGCAAATGTTCTTACCGGTGGGCCTACGTCTCCTTTTTGTCCCTTAGATCCTTCCAACATGGAGAACTGTGTTGGTGGAACCTCCCAGCTCAAGAAGCCATCAGTGGCAGGTGGTGTTACTGTTTTGTCTGAAGGCTTGGTTGGTCGTGGAGTAACTGAAGCTTTGGTAGATTTAGTTTCCTTTGTTGGTTTGATCGTCTTTTTGGAGGCTGGCTTTGAGGTTTTAGCATTTGTAGATTTCGAAACTGTTGACTTGGATGGGCTAACTTTGGACGATGTTGGTTTCGGTGTGGCAACTTTGACAGAGTTTGATTTGGATTTGGGCGGAGTGGCTTTGGATGAAGGAACTTTAGGGTTGGGGGGTATTTTCTTGGCTGGTGTGAATTGTGGTTTGTTTGAAACTGCTGCTTGGTCAAGTAAGACAGAATCATGCTTGGTCTTGGGGGGCTTCATGGTGATAGTGGCTGGAGTAGTAGGTTTCTTTTTGTCTGTTTCTGCAGTTGTCTTTTTAGAAGGTTTGACGGTTTTTTGTGGAGTGGGTTTTGGTGTTGTGGGTTTAGAAGTTTTCTGACTCGAAGCTTTAGGACTTGGAGTAGGTGGTTTTGTGCGCGCTGTTGGTGACGCTGTTGTCCTGAGTGGTGCTGTAACAGTTTCGGTCCTGGTCTTAGGAGATGGGGCAACCACACCAAACTGAGATGTAACTGGTGTTGTAGAAACCAGTTGAGGAGTGGGAGTAGTCCTCTGATTTGGCTTTGATATTTTGGAAGGGGCCACACGTCTGACAGCTGAGGCAGCAGCGGCAACACTCTTCGCAAGGCTCAACCTTGTTGGCTTTCTGGAGGTTTCTTGGCCACCTTGCTTAGGTGTAGCAGAAGTAGCTGAGCTGTTTGTTGTTCTTGGCAGGATAGGGAGTAAAGGAGAAAGGTTAGGCCTGTAAGTGTCAGCTTCCCTGCACTGTTTCTTTATGTACTTGCAGTAGTTGTGAGCTGCCTGTGCAGAAGGGACCAGGTCAAACTGGCAAATAGCACCTTCAAAGTATGCTGATGAGGCATGCTGCTGGCTTGTTCTCCCCAGCAGGAAAGAGCCTTGGAGCTCCTCATTACCCCACCCAAAGTTTGCCTGAATACTCTGCTCTCCGCAGGAGGCATATAGAGTCACTTTCTGCCCGTTAATCCCCACGGCCAGCTGGTGCCACTGGCCATCATGGGGCTCGTAGGGCAGTGCCACTGAGGTGTTTGGTCCTGTGTGTAGGACGAGGCTGCCCGGCACAAGCTGCAGACCAAGAAGAAGCTTCTTGCTGTCTGAAAGCAGAGTGAAGAGGAAAGCACTGTTGACACGGTGTGAACGCACACTCAGGACCAGTGCCAGCTTGGGCCAGATGGCCCCAGGAAAGATTGAGCCCAACGGTGACTCAATGTGTGCCCGTTGGGTGAGGATAATCCCCGATCTGAATGGAATGACCCCTGCTGGTGCAGAGCGTGAAGCCTTCTCTCCCTTGAGTCCCAACTTCTGGAGAATATCAACATCTGGGAAGAAGACAGAGTGGTATTAAATATGCATATAATCACAACAGGCCTGTTTTATGCTTGAGTATATTCTGTTTATTGTGTTACTTAAAATTTAGACGGAAGACTTTATGCTATCTTTCTTTTCAGTTCTGTTTTGTTGTTTTTAGTTTGATTAAATATATTAAATTTTTTCATGTTTAAAATATTAGGAACAAGGCACACTGTAAAAATAGAAGCATAATTTAGCATAAAAAACATCACGTTTGGTTAAGACAGCAGCATTTTCAGAAAAGGGAGTGATCATGTTGCCTAGTCAGAAAACTTTTTGTTTTGATCATACATTTGTGGAGCGCAGACACATTACCCTTACAATAGGTAAACATAGCAGTGGGGCAACTGAACTCTGTATAAATTGATAAAAAGAATAATTTTGAAAAGGATATAGATTTATGCTAATTCCTACACATTAGGTGTATACTTGTTGCAAAGAGATGCTGTTGCATCTTCAACTTCAAATGTTAAGGTTTGTTTTCTTGATTCTAGTCTAGTCAGACATTTTTGATGTACAAAACATTTTTACATGTGCCCACAAATGCTTCATTGTCATTGTTTTAAAGGCCTGCAAGCCCCCTGAACCTGAATGTGAAGCAAAGTCTGTGCTCAGTTTGTAAACCTTGCTAATAACTGCAGCACACACAACTCAAACTTATTCTATTAAGATTGCATTTAACAAGCAAGTCATCTGAAGCTGTTTTACAGTTCAATTAAAGCTTAGTTACACATATATACCCACAGGCTATAATATCCATTTTCTTATTTCCTGTTTTAGGTATACATTGAAGCCTCAAAATAATTATTGTAATATAATCTCAGTGCAAAAAGTAAGGATTTTGGGGTTTGGCAGATTATTTATTGTTGTAACAATGCTTCTTGATAATAAATCTTACAGCAGATTGGATTTATCTGTAATCATTGTAATCTTACAGTGATTGGAAGCACCTAGGGGTACCAGAGCTCAAAATAAAGATGACAGAGAAGATTGGGCAAATTTTTCATGTGCACAACCCACATACTCAGCTCTACTGTTCATCCCACAAATGCATGTTCCTTACAAATGTGGCACCATTTAAAAGGGAAATTAACAGGCTTTCCAACAGTATAAGATTTATTCCCATGAAGCATTGTCTCATCAAAGAAACAATCTATCAAACACAACTGTACTTACTTTTTGTGCTAAGTATGGATGATGAAGAGGTAGGAGTCAAAATGATTAAGATTTATTGATGTTGACTTTTTCCTTCAACTCAGATTTGTGATTTGAACCTCTGAATGTATTGGTGCTAAAATGATCTTATTTCCCAGTTGTCTAACACGTACCGTATATGGTGAAATAATAAAATGCTTCTTCAAATTTCAATTATTTTTACACAATTTAATTTACACTTAATCTTACATAGAAATAAACATGTTTTTTTTTCTATTTGGCTTGAAAAATATTTGAATAAATACAAAGTTGCTTTATAAAACAGAACATGGAAAAGTTGAGTTGAATTATGCAAATTAGCTTTAGTCATACAACTGCAAAACCTTTTTTATTTCCCTCCTTCCATTTTTTTCTTATCAGAGCAGGTTTGGATATTTAAATCAAGGCCAGTCACCATAAGAGGAGTAAAAATACAATTATCAGCTTTTCATTGAGTTTGAACTCTCAGTTCAGTATCTAATCTCAGTATTCTGAGCTTTCATCCTCTTAATGACCTTTGACCTACCTACACATTCTCACTCCCAACTCGTCACATATTGACGTTTAAGGTAAGGTTCCCTCTGCGTCTTATTTGGACGCATCAGGTACCCCCCTCACGTCACTCCTTGACGCCCACGGCTTTTCCGGGTTGCGCCACCAGGGGGCTTTGGGGCGGGTGTCTGAGGTTAACATGAGGGATCGGGTTTAATGGTTAAGTTTAGGTACTGGGATCAGGGGTAGGATGTCCATGGTGAATATTAGGTCATTTTACGCTTTAGAACATGTTCACCTGAATTTCGTACATTTTCTAAAAATGGTTAATTTTACCTACTACGGTCAGGGACAGGATGTCTAAAGTGAACTAAGGTAATTTCAGGCTTTGGAACGGTCGTTTTTGCGCATTTTATACACTTTCTGAACATATGACAACAGCTTCCGCCCCATCTCGTCAGTAACTGACGTGAGGGGGGTACCCCGCGCGTCAATATCGGACGTAGAGGGAAACTTGCAAAACGTCAATATGTGACGAGTTGGGAGTGAGAATGGGTTGGACCTACAGGCCCCTCACTATCTTTTTTTTACCTCTGGGCTCACTCTGTGATCTGTGGTCACTGGTCCTTGTCTAATGAGGACATGCATTTTGAAGGGAAATGACAGATGGGATGTCCTAATGTCTGCTGCACTGGTAAGTTCTTTCTATAGAAAGAAAGGTCTTCAATGAAATGCTCTTGACTTTCTACAGTACAAGGCGATCTTTGTTGAGATGGTGGAGTTCAGAGTTTGGAAATGCAATTACTGATAGAGCAAAAGTTTATAAACAGTAAAACATTGTTTCAGTTCCATGTCAAACCAAAACAGCCTTCTTCACTCCTTTAAGAAGTATTTAGTCAAACTTCCTTCACATAACCTTATACATCAAACACACAAAACATTTATTACTGTGTAAAGTGATCTAAACTCTGTCTCCACTATTCAGTGACTTCTACGCTCAGAATAAGCCTGCGAGAATTCATCTGGCCTCAAAATTTCATGACTTCATTAAATCTAAACAAGGAGTACTGTACACCCCTCCACACTGAAGCCTCCTCTCCGTGTGGTCTCTTTCCAGTAAAGGACAACAGGACTTGACAATGAAACAGTATGTGCATTACATCTTCACATGTTTCCAATGACTTGACTCAAACACAACTTGTACTATGACTCGGGACTTTTGTGTATTAACCCTGCGGTTTTGCAGCACACTGCGTGGATCCGAACAGCAGTGTTGAACACATGGCCAGAGTCCACAGTGCTGCACTGTGCCAAGTCTCTCAGCTAGGACAAACACAGCGTCTGAGGCTTTTCTCCATGAAATCTCATCCACTGTAGAAGATGAAGTCACTAATTCACACTCAAATGACTCCTCTTTGGCTGACCTGCATTTGTCCACTGCAAGCTGTTTAATATATTTCTCATCCTCGCGGGGATACGTTTAGCATGGATTTCTGGACAACTACATCAGAAAAAAATTATTTCATATCTATCAATGTATAAAACAGAACATCTTATGTTATTACCAGCTGACAGAAGGGGAAGGTAGATGACAATATTTTTGATTATGTCTGAATGAGTGTGCATATGTCTGTGACCAAAATATCTCATGAACCAGTGGAAAATGTTAATGAGACTTGCAGAAAGTAATCCCTGGTTGTATCACCACAACTGACTAATTTTTTGCAGTCAACAGGATTCAAGATGGCCGTCACAGCCAACTGATCTTTAAAAGCATAGAAATGGCTAGGATTTGTTTTGTTTTTATATGTTTTGGTTCAAGCTGAGGGTCATCCATGACACAAACTCAGAGTCAACCTTGTCTGCTTGTTAAAAAAACATCGCTTCAAAAATTCATCAAATGGTATCTAAACCAGATTAACTTTCAAATTCAACCTAATTCAAAAAGTCTACTGCAGCTATTTAATATTAGTCAACTCAAAAAAAGATAGGTATTGAGGTGAAATTGTGTGTGAGTTGAAAGTCATTTACAACGCATGTTGAGTGTGAGATCTCACTATAATGCATGAGATCGCAGACGCTGTTATTTTCTAGGTTTTGAACCAAACGGCTACAATTTCGTCATTTCTCAGCAGAAAATGGTCATCGTCTGAAAGTCTGACATGAAAGAATGCTGGGCCTTTAATTTGACTTGTGATTGAAGCTGAAACAGGGGACAAAATATGGTATTATATACTTTGATTTGAACGTGTTTTTGCATTTTCTAAATGTGTGTTGTAAATCTGGAAGTTACTATAGAAAGAGAGACAGGGATGCAGGGAGGGATGTGACAGATCGAAAACACTGCAACTAAAAAGTGTCAAAGAATAATAATAAAAAACAACTGTTCATGTTTGAGAAGTGCACTTTAACTGTTACACACGTGGACAAAATTGTTGTTACCCCTTGTTTAATGAAAGAAAAACCCACAATGGTCACAGAAATAACTTGAATAAGAAAAAAAAGCAATAACAAATAAAAATTCTATAAAAATGAACAAATGAAATTCAGACATTGCTTTTCAACCATGATTCAACAGAATTTTTTTTAAATAAAACTCATGATTTATTTTTTTCTGTGACCATTGTGTGTGACCATTTCTGTGACCATTCTTTCATTAAACAAGGAGTACCAACAATTTTGTCCAAGTGTGTATTATTTAGGTTTTCCAATAAATTATGTTTTTCAAGATCCATTATACAATTCACTAAGCTAATAAATAGCCTAAAGTTAGATTTCCATAGCAAAAATACTAATCTAGAGTACAGTATGGTGTTTTAGGATACTTCTATCAAATAAACTTCCATAAAAGCATGATTCAAAGTTGATCAAAGACAGGAAAGAAGATATCAAAGACTCATTTTATGTTTGGCCCAATTTAATTATCCCAGAGATGACTTCAATGCATCACAATTAAAACTATGAAAAAGGGTCAGCCTTCATGTAATGGACTGAAACGACATGTTTTGTTTGTTTTGTTTATGTGTGCATCAGTGTTCAGTCTCTGCTTTGATGAGCCAGTTGAACTCCGTGCTCCGTCAGTCTGAATCACAATAACCGGAGAAGACCGGGCACCGATCCACTGACCTGTGTCTAAAAGCTTTTCTATAAAGACAAACGGGCCCACAGAACAAAACGCACGCTCGCAAGCTTCCCACTAATAATTTGATTCGGTCAAACAAAAAGAATGACCACGGAGGGGAAAACATTGTACAAGTTTATACTCTACACTTTATTTGGAGATGAGGAGTGTTGTCGTAACAGGGCCGAGCAAAATGAGGAGTTGAATGAGCTAAAAATCCAGCTGCAACAAAAACAATTATCAAAAAAGTCTGACTCATAATGAACTTTAATCCTACATCTAAAGCTGAGACATTCTTTCAGTAAAACGTTGTAAATCACTCCAGTGAGAAAAGAGGTTTTTGAGTCACATTTTCCTCCCTCGCCTACTTAACTTATCTTACTCAGCACCTGTTATATGGCAGTGGCTGACCAGCTCTCATAACAAAGTGTTTACATGCTTGGGCTATGACCAAACAACCAAACTCACCTCAGCCGTGTTTTTTTTATTACACAAGCCGATATTATTTCAGCTAATACAACCAAAAAGAACATTTTAAATTAATGAAAACATGCCATGTAAAAAGCCATCTCTTACCTTCGGAGTGTACTTGTGTTAATCCCAGGTAACAAGTACAATATAAAACTGTACAGAGCAATAGGGCTCTCCTGGGGGAAGAAAAAAGAAGGGCGTTAGAGACGTGACTAGGCTGTATAGTGCTGAATCAAAGAGGGGCTGACCTCTTCATACTGCTTGATGTCATTTTCTCACAATTTAAAACCAATTGTAAATAATAGTTTAACATTGTTACTGTACAGGCCAACAAAACAATTCTCAAAGAACATCTCTAATTACTGCTTACAATGATAGGAAAATAAAAAAAATCTCTTTCAATATTAGGCTTTTGCAGACATAAAAATGATGTAACCTAAGTGAATAAAACAGATTTTATCCTGACAGAACAACTGCAAAGTGCCCAGGTCGAGCAGCAAAATAAGCTCAAATCATCAGCCCTCCACTACCATGCTTAACTGTTGGTACGAGGGATTTGTGAGGATAGCTCATGTTTGATTTGCTCCAAACTGTGGTTAGCGGTTAGCATCTCTACTTTGTTCTCATCTGTCAAAAGGACATGGGTCCAGAAGTCTTTCAGATGCAATTTTACAATCATGTTATTTGTAAAAAGACTGGAGACTTTTCTAACAAGCCATACATTTTTTTTTCAAATTGTCCTGTCATAAATTGCAACCTTTAATCTGCTAAATGAGCCTGTGGAGTTTAACATCTGACTTTTTTTTTCAATTTCTCAGAGCATTGCACAGTCTAACCTTGGGGTAAATGTACTGGGATGTCCACTGCCAAATCAGCAGCTGTCCTAAATGTTTCCCCACTTGTAAATATTCTTTCTCACTGTTGAACGATGGACTCCAGGTTATTTGGGAAAGACCTTTAATCATTTCCAGTTGGATTAGGAGCAACACTGATGTTACTGATGTTTTTCCTCTCTTGGCATTTTAACGCAACCTGCAGGAACTCTATGCTTTTATAGAAGTGATCATGTTTTATGATGTTAATTTAATCAAGTTGATTTGATCAGCAGCACCTAAAGTTACTGGAGCTCATCCAAACTGTGGTGTCATACTGTTTAAACAAGTAGTTATCATCGAAACAGGAGCATTTCTCTCTAACATCACTCAATAACCAGTGTTGGGTTCACTTTACCAAGTTATGTCAAGTGGTTCCACTTAACTGAGTTGAATAAGTGTAAAGCATTTTTCACATTTACCTTTAAAGAAAATGTTATAGTTGCTTTAAAAGCACATTTTAAAGCCAAATCTTTGACCATCTTGTAATGTGTTTGACCCTTCAACAAGCCTAACTGCTCTGCAGCTATAATGTGATTTAAATAAGTCACAGGATCTTTTTACTGCCCCGAGGCTTGTATGAAATGAAAAAAAATTGGTGCAATTTAAATTTTTGAATTAGTTCTAAATTAGTTCTACATTTTAAACACCACAGCAAAACAAATTCACAAAACCCACTGTGAGCGAATGAGCTACGAGAAAAAAAAATAAAGCTGGATTCTGCAAAAGCAATCAGAGCATCTCTCTCTCTCTCTCTCTCTCTCTCTCTCTCTCTCTCTCTCTCTCTCTCTCTCT